TTTTATTATTAGCATCGACCGCGCTAACCGGCTGACCAATGAAAAGACGTCAGTCTTAGTGCGGTTGAAAACACAAAACACTTCTATCTACCATGAACTGGGACCCCGTGAGGGGGCAGCATGGGGGGAGGCTAAGCTATCCTTCGGATCAAAAACAGAAACAGCGGCAACAGAAGAAAACTGCACCCGTCTACCAAGGCTATTACCTAGTACTCGAGTTCGTTTAGCAGTACTTTCACCAGTATCCTCCTTGTTTTCGCTCCCATCTTTGTGTGTGTTCGTTCGAGGATATCCCCAATATCCTGACCACACGGGCGGCATTCCAAGCTCATGTTCGATTTTCTGCCTCGCTCGCCAAACATGTACCGAATCAATTGAAACTACTGTTGACAAGCTCGAACAATGCGAGGCCGCGCTGCGAGATGCATTATTGCGTGTGAACTTACGGAGAGGAGGTGGGGTCCTCTCTAGTTACTTTATGTACGTTCGTTCCAGTACGTCGCGTGGCCCGAAACACTGCACGAGAGTAGCAGCTTTCTATATCCAATCGGCGATGAGAACTCTTCGTCGTGTAGAGCTTTGGGATTTTTCTGAGACTAGCTGCGACCTTTTCTAAGCGCGAAGTAGAGGCAAACAGACAGATAATAGACAAGCACTGGACACAACGAAAGCAAGAAATAAGCTGCAGGAAAATCACCCGGCCGGCTCAAGGGGAGGCGCGAAGACACTCCAACTCCCAAGTGACTGGGAACCACGAATTCCGCAGGCCAGTCAGGATTACCTATGTTGCATGGGTGCATCATGTGCCAGGCGGGGTCAAAGTCGCCACAAGAAGTTTGTTACACCGCCAGCTAGGCGAGTAGCAGTTACAGTAGTTCTGGTTCGCTCGTGAAGTTTTGCGGCCAGAGTGCGTCCGGTGGCCAATTTTTAAGCCCAAAAATGAGGAGTATGCTAGACAGGTACACGGGTGTTCCGGTTTTACACCGTGGGACGTTGGACCCCCAACAAATGTCGGGTACGCGAACGTGGCGGTACCCAGCGGGTATCCCACACAGCAGTATACACCTGGCTAGGCGACCGGCCAGGACAGCTACTACAGAAACGACAATCAACCTCAGGCTAGATTTACCAACAACTCAAGAATTGGAGCGAAGGGTGGCCGTCTTAGCACTATGACCTAACTCCTGTGTGGAGTACGTAAGTCTACGCCCAAACAAGGAACGGCACACAAAAACCGGCACGGATGAGACCCTCGTTGCGTTGCGAATGGTTGAGTGGTTGCACCAACCCCCGAAAAACACAAGCCAGACTTGTACAGGCGAGTCCTAGAGGACGCGCGCTTAAGGACGAGCTGCGAGGGAAATCGACTCGCTACACCAGCAACTCCGCAACGCTTCTCCCGAAGATTGAGTACAACCAACGCAAAACAAATTGCACTACTTCTCTTGTTTGTACAAAAGTGCAGGGCAACATCGGCCCCAAAACGCCTTTCCCACGTGGGGTTTCAATACAACACTCGACACACAGAATTAGGAATAATCCTCAAGAAAACAGAGTGAGGGCTCTGCATCCCCACACGATGGAAACCCACGCAGCAGGATCCCGGTGAAACAGCAACAACAGCAGTATTTCAAAAAGTCGCGTGATGTAGTCAGAAACAGCGCACGCCAACATGGAACGAACCTATCAGCCACGTGCCACGCGCCGTGTACGCCGTTCGGGCAAGGCGTGAACGCGGAGGCCTGCCTTCTCCCGGGCCCTAGACACGTCGTCACCCTCCTGGTCATGGTTATCCCCCTCGTGGGAAGCAGATGCGGCAGAATCTCCACCGTTGTCGCTTCTTCCGCCCGTCGCTTCCAGCGGCGAAGCGTCCCCGTCCTCCTCTCCTGGGGTGTACGGCGAGTACGGATTGGAGACCCAGGCGACGTCGTGCAAGCCGGCCGTGTCTCTCGTGGAAGCCTGTTGGAATACGCCGGAGAAGGAGAGGGGGAAACACCAGCAACACAAGGTGGTGGTGCAAGAACTGACGGTGAGCCATGCCGCCCACGCCCGTCTCTACACAGAGAGTTAAGAAGGAGGGTGCCCTGTGTGTGTGTGTGTTCGCGTGTGCTTTGGAGGGTCAGTTGTCCTGGGTCGAGGACTCAGGCCTTTCCTGCTACAACTAGAAAGATCGCGAGAAATCCTCAAGGTATTCGAAGTACAAAGCTGCTGTTGTTGTGTTTTATCAACACATAGCATACGACGCATGGGCCACAAAATGGGGCTAGACTTCAATACAAAAACTTGCCGGCATGCAAACCATCACATAACCAAATCAATGAGTATATTACCCGCGGCTGCCGTAACGCTCACTTTGCACTGGTCACAAGCAAGACAAACCTACGGGCAAAACAGGATCCTCATTACAAGTAGTAGATTTGAACCGTCCCGGTTCAAATTACCCCTTTCCATTGGATTGTTCTGACTCACTGCCCACTCCCACAGGGCCAGCGAAGAAGACTGGATGGAGAGGCGGCCGGAGCCGTACACTGTTCCGTCACGGAAGGCGCTCCACTCTGGCTTGGCGTAGAAGTCGGCTAGACAAGGGCAACACGTCGGGGTCAAATCCGAGCGGGGGGAAGAAACAGCATGAGAACAAGAACCTGAGCAGACACAAGTTGAAATATGAAACATAACAGCAACCAAACGATCAGTAGATGGAAAACGAATACTTTTCGTTTCAGACAGTTTTCGTCGTCTGCTCTTGTACCTCCATATGCGAGATCCAGGTTCCTAGTCTCGCGCGTGATCGTTGGTCATCGCCGCCGCTATGGCATCTCCAAGTGGAGCTGGCGTACCTTCCCATTATTACTGAGAGGGCGGACTACAACAGAAATGACGTTCCAGGATACGCAAAAAATGAGGTGGCAGTGGACGTGCTCCACTTCGTCTGTACCTGACCTCTCCGGCAACAACAGAATCAACTTTTCGAGCTTATCCTTAGGACATACGCACAAGGAACAAGTAGTGAGATGAGTACGCTGCCTGCGTGTGGTTTCTTTGGCCAAAACAACACCGGGCCAGCAGGGGTCAAACACACGGTCCGCGGAGCAATCAGTCCGTGCGAAGCGAGTGAACGAGAGGCAGGCTTGGCGGCCATTAACACAAGTTCCGCGCGGCCCTCGTAACGACCAACGCTCGGAGACGCGTGTCGCTGGCCGAAACAGGACGAACTATTCTATCCAGGACAAAGCTATTGACGCAGCAAAGAGGCTCGTTCAACTGTACAGAAGAGGGCTCTACCTGCCGGCGCATTGGGCGGACCGGCTAACGGGGTAGCTTTGCCCTGTTGTTGTACGGTCTTCCACGATAGACCACCCCAAAACGTGGTGGTTGTCCAACACGAAAAAAGCGTGTACATTCGTGCGTGCCCTGCGTGGACATCGTGCTGTTCAAACTGTTCCAGACACCACTGATGTGTAAGTCCAGGAGAAGGTCATGGCGAAACGCTTCATCGACCGATCGATCGGTCGACCGCCCTTGACCCACCGACCATTTCACCCTTCCTTCGTTCCTCCCTCCCTTCGTACCTGCGTGCCCTTCGCGGTTTCCCGCGCCGCCCACGACAAGGTGGATAGGTCCGTCCTCGGTCAGCTCAAAGCCAACCACCGGGTGCGATCGCTCGTACGCTACGCAGGGGGGTGGGGGGGCACGCGGCGGAGAGAAATATCGGCGAGAAGCACGGCGACAGAACAGACTCAACGAGGTCATGACAAGAATCACGAGCCACGATCACACACCGCCCAATCTACGAGCAGCTTAAATATGCTGTGGATCGGCACCATGTGGCGGATGAAATGAGTGATATTCTCTTGTTTCGATCGCAATATTCAAGCACAAAAAGCACCCGTGCTACGGATTTCGCGCTCGGAACAGCACCAAAGGTTCGTCACGCGTTGTTCAACGCGCTGAACGGGGCTTAACACGTCGTGGTATGTACCACGCAGGTTAGACCTAGAGCCTTCCCCCCATGAAGCACTGACTGTATGGACTGATTCTGAGAGGAGTTGTACCACACCGAAACGTGTGGGGTGGTGTTTGAGTGAACGAGCGAAAGCTTCGCAAGTCCCCACAGAAACATATGATACAGACGGTCAGAAGGGCAACGGAGAAAATTCTGGCGAGAGCGATAAATCACAACACACCCCGCACACTTACGCCAGTTTTATCACACACCAGAGCGATGAACCAACTCTGCCTCAGTAGCATGCGGGGGTCCTGTAACTGGAGTTCTGCAACAGCAACCTATTCCGCCGCATGTGGGAACATAATATGTCTACAGCGCAATGCGCAGACAACCGAACCACCGGTGAACACGCTGTGGGGGAGTACACAATCTTCCCCGATAATTTCATCAATGGGATACTGTGCAAAGCGTGATTGATGCGTGCAGCACACACGCCACACATCCAATTTTTTCATCTAGGCATTAAACACCTTCAATCCTCCTTCGGTCACAGACGCACCGACCGCCGCAGCACCTACCGCCGAAACCCTCGCAGCCGAAGCAGCCTTCGGGCAAGACGGGCAAACGCCATCCAAGATCACCGCCAGGACAGCAGCAACCCGCCTCCGTAGTGCATCCTCAGTACACGTTCAGAGCTGTTCATGACGACGACCCAGCCATCCTGCGGTTGACACCACTCCACTCCAATCACCGTACCGATCGGTCCGCAGTCTTGGGCCAACTGAGGGCCAAACTGGAGTTTTGCTTGGTCCCACATGGCGCAACCATGTTCACAACATCAAACGCCCCCATACAAGCAAGCACGTGACGATAGGTACAGTACGCCATTCCCCGTCTGTCCTTGTAACGTCTCCTTTATAATATAGGCTTGATGATCGCCACAAGCCGCTGTTTGTGTTCCTTTTGGCGATCATCGAGCCTATATCATAGGAGACGTTGACAGGAAGAACGACCAACATTTCGCCAAACAAGGACATATCAACAGCGGATCACGCCTCCGCTATTTCTATGTCTGTGTTTGGACATCATCAAGCCTAGCCTAGGAGAGGATAAAAGGACGGACGGGGAATGGCGTACTGTACCTATCGTCACGTGCTTGCTTGTCTGGGAGCGTTTGATGTTGTGAACATGGTTGCGCCGTGTGGGACCAAACAAAACTCCAGTTTGGCCCGCACTTGGCCCAAGACTGCGGACCGATCGGTATGGTGATTGGAGTAGAGGGGTGTCGACTGCAGGATGGCTGGTTCGTCGTCATGAACAACTCTGAAGGTGTACTGAGGATGTACCACGGACGCGGGTTGCTGCTGGCCTGGCGGTGATCCTGGATGGTGTTTACCCGTCTCGCCCGAAGGCTGCGTCGGCTGTGACGGTTTCGGCTGCATGCAGCTGCTGCGGCGGTTGGGTTCGCGGTTCGTCCATTGCACCAGAAGGCAGTCGCCGAAGCAGAGGAGAAGGTGTTCCCGAAGGCTTCATGTGCGGGTGGAAAGCTAGATGCTCGCGAGTGTGGCGTGCGTTCTGCACACACGCACGTCACGCTTTTGCACGATATCCTGGGAGATGAATATCCCCGGACGAAATGCGCAGCGACACACTTGCACTTGTGGCAGAAGCACGCACTACACTACATACAGCCCCCACCGCAAGCTCGTTTCAAATACACGACAACGCACCGTGGACGTGCCCCGTGATGACCACGGCGGCCTTGTGCAGGTGGAGGAGAGGCTCCATGGCGCGCATCGCCGTCTCCGCCTGGCGCTCGCCCTGGTGAGCGAGGTTGGAGTTATACCAAGGGCAGTGCATCATCACCACCAACCAAGGCGTGAGGGTGCGGTCTGCTGACTCCAGATCCTGTGTGACCCAACCACCCGCCAAACAGTTCCAAAAGGAGACATCAGTAGGGCGACGACGACGATCAAAAAGAGCAAACGTCAGATTGTAAGACATGAGTAGTTGCACGTTGGGGAGGCGGGACGGAACGGGGGGGAGGATGCGCGCGCGTATACCGGAAAGGCTGGGGGTATCGTGCGTAGGGGGCAGGGCGGAAGGAGGCACGGGAAGAGCATGGATTACACCGGGCTGAGTCGCGGGCGGTCCGCTACAAGGTGGAAACAACAACAACCGTAGGCGCAAACTACACCTCGACGCACTCGCGCCAAAGTCGAATAGGGCAAGTTCGCAGCATGGTGAGGGTCGGTATGCAAGCGTTCCCAAGCATGCTCTGACGGGCCGACTAGCCTCCTTCACTCCCTTGTGCTGTGACAAGGCACATGCAGCGCATCATAGGACTATAGGAGTGGCCACCACACGTGGCGCCCTGAGGAAGGAACCGTCTTTCACCGCACCTTCTGCAGCCACGAGTACTGCACGGAGTTTTCGCCCGTCGCCGTGTACGGGTTAAGCGCGACCACATGGACCGGACCGACATCGAACGAGTAAAAGCTGGGGCAAGGCAAGGCGGCAACAAACGACGGAGGAAACAGGAAAAAAAAAAAACAGCGCTACAGCAGTAGTACTCTGGAAAAAAACGGGAGGCACACGCTAGAAAGGAAACCGCTATACACAGCCAGAAAGAGACCGGGAAGAACGAAACAATGCCGCCCGTGCGAATGTCACAAATAGAAAGGACTTGTGCCTCAAAAAAGGCCAAGAATGAAGTAATTTTGATCCATGCCCGCACCGTTGTACCGGTCATATAGCCACGGGTTGCGAGAAAAAAGACAACAAGAAAACAAATGATACTGTAGAACATGGTCCAACTCCGTCGGTAGGTAGTCAGCTGTGCGTTCAGCACAGTAGACACCGAAAAGCAGCGTTCGAGCGTTAGAAGAAAACGAATACAAGACTGATGGACCATAAAATCATATCCTCGTTGCCTACCAACAGAAGCAAATAAGGAAATCACGTCCCCGGGCACCACACCTGTTGCCGTAGTCGTACGTCCCGGACCACTCCGACGGGCAGCAAGACACCGGCGGCTGCTCGTCCTCGCTCCCTTCCCACGTCGCATCGAACGCCTCGCGCACTCCCCTCGCCGCCTGGCGCACGGCCGCCCCCACGGTATTCCCGGCCGCCACCCCTTCCCCTCCTCGCGTACCCACCGTCGATGGCAGCCTCTCGGCCTCCTCGATCGCCGCGGCGTCCGCTTCGTCCGCGCCCCAACCCTCGCCGCAGAGGAAGCCGTCGCCGTCCAGACCGCCGCCGGCGCCGCACCCGCGCCCGAGGTCCGTCGGAGCTCCCACCGCCGGCATCCGAAAGCGGCTCTCGTAGGCCAGGAAAGGCTTGGCGCCGGGGTAGGCGCCGTTGGTCTCGATCTCGTGATTGCCAGCAGCGACCATCCACGGGAGGCGGCTCGCTACAGGGTCGAGCATCCTCATGAACGAGTCCCACCGAGGCTGGTGTTTATTTTTTCCATTTTTACATTTTTCCGACCGAAAACGGAAGCAGCACACGCAGCGGGCGAGCGTGGCCATAGTGAGGGTGTCGTGAGGTACGCACGGAATGAAGAAGGCAGAGCGCGCATGCTACACATACACGACAGTCACAACGGGGCTATCTAAGTGGACATTGTGTAGGAGTACGTCGTTCGGCAAGATGGGGGCACAATGTCGTCCAAATCGAGCGGCATCAGTCGAAGGAGGGTTGATCTACGATAGTGGCGGTGCTCGGCTACGGGGGGCAACGCTGCCACCAAATACAGTCACGTCAACCTGGGTGGCGCCGGCTACGAGTGACAAGGGACAAGAAAAAGAGATTTCAAGATGTTAGGGTCGGTGACACAACGCCATGACAGAACCCACACAACGGTCGGCTACAACATACTTCCAAGTAGAAGGGGAAATACACGGCACCCGGCTTGGTCATGTGGGTCATCTGCTTTCCCTCGAACCATGGGACAACAGCCAATGAGAACTTCAGAACTTCGGTGGAGTCGTATTCCTTCCTAGGGGTGATATCTGAAATAGAAAGCACTCATTGCACACAGCAAGTGATGCCATGTAGAACGATGGGAAAAGAGGAGGACAAGAGGCGGGTATGGCATGGCCGACCCACCTGGTCGCAATCTGCGTAGCTCAGGTCACCGGCATGCAGGACGAGATCGATGGAATTGTCGCCATCGATGGCCGCAAGCGTCGCGCTGGGGGACAGAGAAGAGACGAAACAGAAGGTGGTACGGTAGTACCCAGGTACTAGTCACAAGGCTTGCGAGAAAAGAAAGGCCGACAAGAAATGATAACAAAGGCCAGAGGGGTGCCAAAGGGGGGGGGAGGGGTACTCATAGTCTTGCATGCCGTAGTCGTTAGACCATTGACCTCGCATCCCTACAAAGCCGGGACGGAGCACGCCGGGTTCTCACCGGACCAGGCTCTCACATCACCAAGCGCGAAGCGCCGTGAGATATTCGGCGAGTCGCATGAAGGGTGCGCTGCATCCTGCTAAGGGTGTTCGGCATCTTGTGCTTACTTCCTTGCGTACGGATGACAGCTGCGTATGAATTAATTTATTTTCTGGTGCTTTCACTTCCAGAGACAGTTGTAAGCACTGTGTAACTGCCTCGAGGGTGCTTGACCATTTTAACACAACGTGGTGCGATCATCCCCCTTGCGCGGAGTGAGGGTTCTCCACCCCGCACAACATGATCTACTCGACCACCATTATTGTTACCGCCAAAAAACAAAACCGGAAGTAAAAAAAAAAAACGGTGACCTGGTTGCCCGAGTTCACGAAGTGAATTGGTTTGTTTTACAACGTCTTTGCCAAGCGACTAAAACCCAATCCCGATGGCAAACACCGAGGGGGGCGGCTTGTTTTACAACGTCGTTGCCAAGCGACGAAAACCCTCACCCCGATNGCGACGAAAACCCAACCCCGATGGCAAACACCGGGGAGGGGGTGCCAAAGGGGGGGAAGGAAGAAAGCAAGGGGGCAGGAGGACACGCAACAGACAAGAGTGTCATGTGAACATCACATGGGGTTGGTCGCGCCATGGAAACACTGCCCTGGGAAAATACGAGCGCGCTAGCACAATACTTCTTGATATTGCTGTCTTGGCAAGAGCACACGTAAGACCTTTGCCTTTCCTGCGCGTAGACAGGAAATATTTAGCTTCTCTGCCTAGTTTATATAGAGAACAGAAGCATGGTCTCAAATTCACATCGGAGGCCATCCCGGCACAGCATTCACTCAGGCGTTCCACCCCTCTCGGCATAAACAGCAACCACACCAACCGCACGCTCGGCGGAAAGTGTACCGGCTTCTGCAGTCAGCAACAACAAAGTGTCATAATTTTGTGTTCGTTTTCGTCATCCCATACACGACGCATCGTTCGTAGTTACCAAAGTACCCTCTACGGCCATCCATACCTCTCAAACTCAAGAGCTCCGATCCGGGGCCACATGGACAGGAAAAATCCTTCTAAAAGCGAAGAAACAAGCACACAGAACTTACGCTGAGTCGTCGGTCTGTCCCAAGTCTCCCAAGACGCCCAGGATGATAGGCTGCTCTGGGCCAAGCTTGGGCGGTGTGTCGAAAGACCGCACCGAGCTCATCTCCAAAGTGTCGTCGCCGCAAGAGTAGAAGTAGGTCGATGATGGCTCCAGGCCCTGCAGCGTGGCTGAGTGCAAGAAGCCGCTGGTGTAGTCCGCCCGGCCCGGGTGACGGGTCGAGTAGGCTAATCGGTTTGTGATCGGCATGGGAGCGGGGGGTGGTAAGTACATATGAGAATGTATAAAGACGCCTGAACGTTGTTGTTTTGCGGCTGCTACTGCTGCCGCCATTGTGCATGTTAAGTTGTGCGGCAAACGCATGAGGGTTGCCAAGTTCAGCAGTAGCCATGGCTAGAGGCAGGGTGCTTCCTGTGGGTGCATGAGTTTGTAAGCGCGTTTCGGCTGTTGCTGGAAACACAACTAAAACGATCAAATGCCGACGAACCTCGCCAGAGGTCGGTAGATGTTAGCCTCGTACACAACTGACTGCCTATTTAAACTACATACGATACTAATCACTGAACTTTTGGGGAGCAAAAATTCATATGTACCTGAGTCGTGCTGCCTTCAGGAAGGACTGGTCTTCCTGCAACAAGTGACTTGCTTGTCTTTTGAAAGCGACGTACACGGCAAGATCACCATGCAGCCTTTTAGTAGCAAATTATAACAGTATCGTAATCACGATAAATATAGAGTTGGCGCGCGTGCACGAAGCACGAGGCTCAAGGCCGACATGGCGTCACGCTACTCTGCCACGTGCTGCACGGAAGCAGCTGTACAGCCGCAATGCAAACGATCTCTCCTGTTGTTTTTGTTGTGATTATGTGAACGTCGAAGGCATCATCAATGCCTTCGCGCGTCCCACGGATACTGTACCAGCACTCGCTGGACTTGTTTGCGGCCAAGTTAATTTGATCTACTTAGAGCAGTGAACTGCCTTCTGGCAGCCGTGTACAGCAGTAAAAGTACAAGATAGCGGCGTGATGCCGCTACTGCTCCTACTACTAGCCGTTAGCTGTAACGGGCTTGGACTCACTCGTTGAGCTCCCATCTGCAACGTTGCCGAGGTCGTCGACGGACGATCCCCACACCACTCGTGATTGAGTGTTGGGCCAGGTCACCCAGGCAACCGTGACAGCGTACTCCTCCGGCGAATCAGACCGCGCCAGAGCAATGTGAACCTGCTCCGGTGCGGCAAAGCTCTGGACGTTGTGCGCTCCTACGCCGAGCCCGTGCTCTTCTGGTTGAAACATGCTCGAAGCTGGACCATCTTGTTGAAGGTTCCGCTCTTTGTGCTCCAATCGTACGCCAGCTCTATCGCCGATGCCCACTGGTGCGCCGGAGACTACTGCTACTGCTACCACTGCTGCTGCAAGGAAGAAGCCGAGAGCCATATGAGCGCTCGCAGCCTACTGGTGCCGCCCACAAGCTCAGCAGCGACAGGGGATGCGGGGATCAGAGATTCCTCCGCGTCTTGTTGTGGAAGCTCCCCGTTATGCCGTCTACCGAATGAACGAATGAGAGAGCACGTAGGTGCCCCAAACAGCCCTGCGACAAGAAATAAATTCGCCGATGCTCGTCTTTTGCTTTGGCCGCGGCTAGCCTCGTCGTGTTCGCCTTCTTCTTGACGCGCAAAGCCGAGCAAAAGACACTGACTGCACTGCCAAGAACAACAGTACAACAGTCATTGAATCACGGGGTGCCGTGTGTCATTTTGACGTCCGAAATGTGCGCACCCCCCAAGACGCACACCCCAGAACCGGCAACAAAGCACACGACGAGGCGTGGTGCACAGAGCCGCCGGGTTGTGAGGGGACAACGTCTTGAAAAACACGATACACGATGCTTCTCGGACGCGTTGGCACGCTTCTCCCGAGGTGAGTTGCCTGTGTGGGGATTGCTTCCACGACAACAGTGTGTCCTCTCTCATTGTGATGATCGATCCTCTCTGCCCCTGTGGACGCGGAAACAGTACGTCCTTCAGAGGTCCACCAGCCAGTCGAAATCCAGTTAAAGTGGTGGCGTGACAAACGTTAAGTATGTGGAGACGTTTTTTCATGCGATGGACGGCGAGCAGAGTTCATTGTCAATTTTCCCGATAGTTTTATAATTTTGGTACCCACTTGCAAAGATGCCCTGTGTCAACAGCAGCAGGAACAATAATAGCATGCACCTGCGGCTGTACGCTCGCCGATCGCATTTTCCACGCACGATACAGTCGACCCCGCTTTAGAGACACACCACGTTTGCCCAAAAGAGAAGCGTGTTCAACGCGGGAAAGTGCCTTTAAAATTCCGGGGCCACTAACGCACCATCCCCGGGGCCAATGAAGGCGAAACATATGTCAAAAGGTGCGCATTCGCAGCAGAAAGGCGACCACAAGAGGTGTTGTTTGAAACCTACGACAAAGGTGATTTGAAGGTCGCAACCACTGCTGCTACTGTGCTGCAATACATACTTGCATACCATCGTTTGAATTTCCCCCCACTGTACCACCAAAACGCTGAAAGCGATGGTGTTCTACGACCTACGCATCGTACATATACACGACGGTAGTGCGCTGGTGTTGATATGGGCCTAATTATTTGCTTTATTTTATTTTTTAGGCGTTGTCCTCCCCGTGAATATCTTGCCCAAGATTTCGCTACCACACCTGAGAAATATCGAAGGTTGTAGAACGACACTAGGAAAATGTAGGTTATGCAGAAACACAGACCAAAAATGTCGGGAAAGCACAGCGACAAAGAGGACACCGCGCCTCCCAAAAGGTCAAAACGAGGCACAACACAACACAAACGCCAAATTCAACCTCACGAGACTTCACCCAAGGCAAACAACGAACGTTGGCAATAAAAGTGCTTTGCTCTCGAAACCAAAAACTATACCCGCCACGTATCCCGAAGAGTCGCCTGCACCTCCCCCCCCTCCTTTGCTCTTCGCTTGACCTGTGTTTCATGAGTAAACGAATGCACAGTCTTCGAAAGAAGGTACTCCGTTTCGCTGTACTCGCCGTCTCTTCCATGTGTGTACAAGTAAGAGCGGACATCTTCGAGACGAGAGCGAACCTCGCCCTCTGAAATCGTAGATTTATGCACGACTGGCCTACCGTGATGCCTTCCTCTTCACTGGACACGTCCTCCTCGACGTGTACGTTTGACATGTTCTCCGTTACCGCTTCCATCTCGAGTTCTACCTCATCCCTCAAGACCTCTTCATCGTCCTCTACACTAAAAGCCAAGTGCGCATTGCGCTGCGCACTTCTTCTGTGAGGCCAGAGGCGCTCTCGACGAACAAGTTGTCCGTCAACACTCGCGGCTTAGACCTAGCGTCCAGGTCCTTGGCACTCTCTGGCATGGATATCATCTCGACCATATCGCACAGGTCGTCCAGGGCGGCCGCCCCCGGGTCTTCTCGGTCCAACCGCGTGTCTTTGTCCTGGAGCGCGCTCTCGTGCTCCCCAGGAAGAATGGTGGCCTTGAGCCAGCACCTGATCACAGTCTGGTCTGAAAAGCTCTCACACTTTTGGGAAAGGATTTCCGTCACATCCAGGATTGTCGGCTGGCCTGCGTCGTTCAGGCCCCTGCAGCCCCTGCGAAACAATGATGCAAGGAACACAGGGTAAAAAAAAAAGCAGGGTTGTACACGGAGTAGAACCGCTCCGCGGAGCGTTTTTTTTTTT